GGTCCCCAGGGCCGCCGCGGAGGGGCCGGGCGTCAGGCCCCGCGGGGTTCTGACGGCCCTTTCCATGGGGGCGGCGGGGTGCAGGGGAAGGGCCGGCCAGGTGGGACACTCAGCCACTGCCCGCCCTTGGCGTCTCTGCTCGTGGGTTTCAACTGTGCGTTGGCCTGGGGAGTCGTGTGCTGTAACTGGAAGCCCCCAGCTGGCCGCCCTGGGGCTCCTGAGGGACTGACTGCAGCAGCCAGGGTGTTTCTGTTTTTAAAGATTGATTTATTTATGCACACAGAACTGGGGTACAGGCCAGAGGTGTGTGTGTGTGGGGGAGTGACAGGATTCACCAGAGACAGAATGGGGAGTAGAACAGGCAGATCCAGTGAAATCCATTGCTGAGGGGAGCAGCGAATGGGTCAGGAGAGGTCCGCTGTGCCCTGTGGTCACTCCCTGCCAGGGGATTGAGCCCCTGCTGCAGTGGCCCTGGTGGCTCCGCAGTGCTGTGCATCGCGAGGGAGGGCCTTTTTTTAAAGATTTATTTGTGCATACAGAACTGGGGTACAGTCCAGTGGTGCAGGGGCGGTGAGAGGATTCGCCAGAGACAGAGTGGGGAGCAGAACAGGCGGATCTACTGAAAGACACTGCTGAGGGGAGCAGCGGGGAGACAGGAGAGGTCTGCTGCGCCCTGGGGTCCCTCCCTGGCCGGGGGTGGAACTCGCGCTGCAGTGGCTGTGGGCAGCTTCACAGTGCTGCCTCCATTGCACCACCAGGGAGGCCCGTGCTGGGAGTTTCTTTTTCTGTGGGTGGCCCTGGGGTCAACCTGCCGCTACTGCTGCCTTTAAATCAGGGTGGGGTTTTGCACCGAGGTGCAGAAACACTGACTGAGGTCAAATCAAGGGTACCCAAGCCCCCAGATTTTCTGCCTTGGATCTTTAACTTAAGATGCCAGAGACCAGTGTAGCTTTTTCTCTGATGATGGAGATGGGAGGCCCAGCTGGGTGCCTATGTGGTCCCCATCTTGTGCAGGTCTGTGGCCCCCCACGCCTGCAGGTCAGGGGCCCCATCTTGTGCAGGTGTGTGGTCACGGCACTGAAGGGGAGATGGTCCCAGAGAGGGAGGAGACGCTCTCAGGGACACGCAGCAGCACGCCGCCCATGACACCGCTCTGCAGGCTGCTCCCAGCCTTTGGCTGCCCGGGGCGGAGCCCTGAGGTCTGAGAAAGAGAGGGAATAAGCTGGAAGGGCTTTCTGGAAGAGACAGTGTCAGCTAGCTGCTGAGTTGGGCAGGGTTTCACAGGTGGAAAGTGGCGGGTTGGTTCTCCAAGGGGGACCCACTCAAGCCAAAATGTGGCAGAGCAGGGGGGCTCAGTTCTCCTGTGGGGACTGGCCAGTCACCCAGAGGCCCACAGACTGGGAGAGAGGAAGCCCGGAGTGTGGGTCCGAGGCATAGCTTCTGGGAGGCACCCCTCAGAGACCAGGGAGGCAGGACTCGGGCGCGGGCACCGGGCCACGATCTCATTGACGTGTCGGCGGCCGCTCCAGCCTATGCCCTTCTGGGCCCAAGCCCAGCAGCTGGTCCTTCCGAGCCAGCCCCCTCCAGCCCATGTCCCACAGGAGGCATTTGCGCCCCGGGCTGGAGGGGGCGCTTCCCCCGGTCACCCCAGGCCCTGTACCTCTGCAGTGGGAGGTGGCCAGGCCTGGCTCTACCCACAGGAACTCCCAGAATCCTAGAGAGTGAAGTCAGGCCCTTAGAGGCTGGGGTGGGGCTGAAGCAGTGCCACCAGGTGGGCAGCCCAGGAAGGCTTCTTGGAGGAGGGGCCACACCTGAGGGCGTGGAAGGGGAATTTGGGTCAGACAAGAGGGAGCAGTGGAATTCCCATCAGAGCTGGTGTGAGTAAGCCCAGTTGCTGCTGAGGTCGGGGTTTCTCCCCTCTCTTGCGTCTTCCTGACTTGGCGGTTGAGGCCTCTATCTGTCTGGCCGGCCCCAGGGCCCCTCCCCGCTCCTCACCATGTGCCTGTCTGCCAAGGAGGAATGGTTACCCCATTTTACAGGTGAAGAGTTGATGATACAGGTGTAAATCCAGATTTTGAGCCTGTGTTGTTTCTTCTTTAAAATATTATTTGTGGGCCCTCCCTCCCTGGTGGCGCAGCGGGTTAAAGCACAGCACTGAGAAGCTAAAGCCACTTCAGCTTGAGTTCGATCCCACCCCAGAGGTGACCACATGGCGCGGCAGACCTCTCCTGACCGCCTGCTGCTCCCCTCAGCAGTGGACTTCCTCAGTTGGCCTGTTCTGCTCCCCGCTCTGACTCTGGCGAAGCCTCTCACCGCCCCTTGCACCTCTGGCCTGTACCCCAGTTCTGTGTGCATAGATAAATCAATATTTTAAAAATATTTATTTGTTTATACATATAAGAACTGGGATGTAGGTCAGAGGTGCAGGGGCGGTGAGAGGATTCATGAGAGACAGAGGAGAGCAGGACAGGCGGATCTACTGAAAGGCACCGCTGGGGGGCCAGCGAGGAGACAGGAGAGGTCTGCTCAGCCCTGTGGGTCCCTCCCTGGCCGTAATCGAACGGTTCCTGCAGTAGCTGGGGTGGCTTCCCAGTGCTGAGACAAACGCCTGTGCCACCAGGGAGGCCCCCGCCTGAGTTCTTAAATGGCCCAGCACTAGTAACTGGCTGTGTGACCTTGGGCAAGCTCCTTAGCCCCTCTGTGTTCTGCCCTGAGGACGGGACCCATGAGGGCTCTCTCTAAGTGGCCCTGAGGCACCTCTTCAGGGTGCTGCCCCTGAGGGGATCCGTGTCTCCCCCAGAGGCCTTTCTGGAGCCCTGCGATCCCGAGGCTGCCCCAGGCTGGTGTTTCTCCCCCTTTGTGTACAAGGACCCAAGGACCCAGTGGGTGGGACTGGCCCACAGCAAGCAGCAAATGGGTGGTTGGGCCTGGGCGAAGCCTTTGGTTATACAGCCCCAGGCCAGGCCTGCGTGAGCCTCACTGGAACCCTCAGCTTCCTCCCTGTGCAGTGGTGATGGTGCGGCCCCTGCCTCACAGCCGCTGAGAGAGCGAAATGAGTCAGCCGGGCGCGGGGCTCCATGCCCGACGACGCCTGCTTTACCGGTCTCAGTTCCTGCTGTTCACCCAACCCCGAGCACGTTCTCTGGGCTTCTGTCTGCCACACTCCCTCTGCTGGCATTGCCTCTGGCGAGGGCGACCTGCGTTAACCAGCGGCATGGTGGGGTGGCTAGGGATCGGAGCTGTGAGGCGGAGGCTCAGGAGACCGTGTGGGAGTTGAGGGGCCCGTGGAGGAGGCGAGGGGAGCCGGGTCCTGGAGGCCGACCGGGTGCCCGGGCTGCGGAAGTGCTTTGGGGAAGTGAAAGTTTATCACTGCGGCCGGAGGGGGGCGGCTGGGTGGGGTTTGGGGTCGTAGGGCTTGAGATGGGAGCTCCCTTGGCAGTGGGGGGTGGGGGAGAGCGGTGGCGAGAGTGACCACCAGGTGACAGTGTTAGGAAGACCCTCAGCTGTGCGGAGAGTAGGAGCCCGGGAGCACCTGGGCCCCTGGCGGGCGCTGTCACTGGCCCCGGGCCAGAGAAACGCACTCGAGCGGGCAGCGGGGACATCCAGGGTAGCCTGGAGACACAGTGCTGGCCTGCGGGCAGCCACGTGCCAGCGGACCCCCCCCCCCCCGTGGCCAGCTTGGAGGCACAGGCTGGGCGGCTTGGCCCCTGCTCGCCCTTGTCAGGTGGTGGGGCAGGACCCGACAAGGGGCCAGCTGTCGGCGTTGCTGAGCTGGGGACTCGGAGTGACAGTCCCAGCAGGTTGCCAGGGCAGGCCACATCTGGGACCCGCCCTGCGCTTCCAGGCTGGGGCCGTCATGCCACGCTGCCCTGCTGACTCCTGGAGGATCCCAGCTGGTGTGGGGGTTGAGGAAGCAGGAGGGCACCCCCTTTTGGTCAGAAGGTGGAGCTGCAGGCTCAGGATCTTCACCTCAGATCATGTCAGTGTCACTGTATGGGGTCCTGGCCATGACGGGGGTGGCAGCACTAGGTGACAGGTTCAGGGGTCACCTGAGGGAGCTCATGGAGGAGCAGGCAAGAGAAGGAAGAGCGGAGCCAGCAGGAGCCGTCACTCCTTACTCGCAGAGCCTGCGAGGCCTGGGACCAGGCTGTGGTGCTGGGACAGTGGAGGGGACGCAGGGGGGAGGCACAGGCCTGGGCTTTGCTCGAGGAGGTGCTTTTGGGGGGCGAGGGGAGTTCTGTGCTCCCGGGACAGGAGAAGCAGCTGGCTAGTGGGGCCTGCAACCCTCTTCTCCAACAAGTGGAGGATCCAGCTGGGCCCAGGGTGGAATTTGGGGAGCCCCTCCAAGCCCTCACTGGCCCCTTCCTCCGCAGGAAGGCCTGAGCCCTGACCCCAGCCCTGCCCCTGGCCCACCCACTGCCACAGCCCCACCGCCGCCCCCTGGTGAGTAGTTGTGGCCCAGCTCAGCTCAGTGGGGCACACAGCCTGAGCGGTGACCTGTGGGGGCAGGTGACAGTTGGAGGTGGCTCAGTCTGGTCTCTGTCTGCAGGTGGAAGTCCCCCCTTGGAGGAGCCACCCCCAAGCCCAGGGGAGGAGGCTGGGCTGGTAAGGAGGGCTGAGGCAGGATGAGCTGATGGGTGGCCACGTCCTAGGCTGGGCCTGCTGACCTCCCTGTCCCCTGCCCCCAGCAACGCTTCCAGGACACCAGTCAGTACGTGTGTGCCGAGCTGCAGGCCCTGGAGCAGGAGCAGAGGCAGATTGACGGGCGGGCAGCTGAGGTGGAGAAGCAGCTGAGGAGCCTCATGGAGTCAGGTGCGGTGGCCTGTGGAGCTACCAACACCTGCCTTGCTCCTCCTGACCTTGCGGGCAGTGGGAGGAGGCAGGGCTGGGGCAGAGCCCCGCTGCCAGCCGGGTGCCCTGAGGCCCTGCGCTGGAAGCAGCCTGCTGGAGGCACCCAACTCGATTTTAGGCGGCCCCAGGCCCGCCCCTCGCGCCCTGCTCCTGATTCCAGGGCAGGTGGGAGCCGGGTGACTGTCCTGGCCCCCTCCAGGTGCCAACAGACTGCAGGAGGAGGTGCTGATCCAGGAGTGGTTCACACTGGTCAACAAGAAGAACGCGCTCATCCGGAGGCAGGACCAGCTGCAGCTGCTGTGAGTGCGC